CGGGTGCTGCCTGTGTACTACTGCTTTACGAAGCCGATCACTCCGAGCAGGCTTCCCTCCACCGCTGAAGGAATTACGCTCTGGAGTAATGTGAGTTCATCGGTGGGACGGTCGCACGCGACTGTGCTCGCGTTTCTTTTCCCATCCCATCGTCGTCGTCATCGTCGTCGTCGTCGTCTTCGTCGTCGTCGTCGTAGTCGTCGTCGTCGTTCTCGAGGTTCCTCTCGAGCGAAGACGGTCCACGCGAGACAAACACAGGAAGATCAATGAAAACGGAGCAGCCTCGTTTGCTCCGGTCGCACGACTAGTATTCCTCTATGAACGACGCCGGTCAGCGAGCGTGTCGTTCGTGACGCGCCGACCGAGACTGCTACCGTCACTACTGCCGCCACCGCCACCACCACCGCCGCCGCTGTTATCCCTACTGGTTGTACCTGATTGTACCGACGAGAACACGGAGAACACGACTTTCCATTCCAACAACGTTGGTCGAGTTTTAACTGGCTCGTCGCGAATTAACAAGCTCTAAAATGGGTCGGAACGTTGACTGGGAGATAGAAAAAGAGAGAGAGAGAGAGAGAGAAAGAGCTGTTAATGTACCACCCAATTCACATTCTGACAATTTCCTTCGCGAATGTCTTTTCTGTGCTGCGCGTTTTTCGTGTCCATGAAAATAAATGGTACAGTGATCCGAGTGGATCCAGTATCTTTTCTTTTTTTTTTTCAAAAGAAGTTTTTGTAAGATTTTTGTTTTCATAAGGACTATTTACTAATAATGTAATATAAATAAAATAAAATTGTATAACTACGGGCAAATGAGAATAAATAACTGCACGATAATTAGTGCGCTATGATTTAAAATTGAAGTATGTTTAAAGTATCACTACGCGTCTGTGATACTTTAAACAAATTTGAACATTTCGGCTAATTTCTAGCCATCATCAGCGAATATCGTATGAAAGAAGAAATCGTTTAAACACTCATGCTCAAAATTTGCATCGCATATGTAGTGATATTTTATATTTTTTTTAATTTAAAATAATAAAAATGGCTTTATAAACGAATAAAAATTATTAGAAAAAAAGGGAGCGTGAAAGCCAATACTGATTTTTTTCTGTGAAAAGAATCTTCTATCTTTATTTAATCATCTAAAATACACAATTTAACAAATATTTCGAACTGTTATATTTTTTAAATAATTATTCTCATGCTCGTAGTTACAATTTTATTGTTTGAATGTTTGAATATTGTTTGAAATTTAATATTGTTTATTGTTTGAATTCTAGGAGTCCATTGATTAATAGATTTTATTGATTGTTGAAAAATGGAAAAGCTCTCGATGAAACACGTATGTCGAGATAAAAATATCTTTCTTGGCGTCGTATTTTTCTTTTTCCTGAATATTACGTTTTAAATTTCATGAGCAATTTGAAATACGTTTGTAAATCCAATCCTTAGAATAATGATCCCGTTTTGAAATCATTCAGACGTTCCTTTGATCCTTCTTTTATATTCCTTTTCATCCCATCCTTTGCACTTCTGGAGATGCGGTTTCAAAACATTACTTTTCTCTGTGTGATATGTAAAGTTTGTAGTAAAATTTTTACCATATTCGATATCAAAATGTCTTTCTTCGTATCGTATCTTTTTCTTTCCCTGAATATTATGTACTTTAAATTTCATGAACAATTTAAAATATATTTGTAAATCGAATCTTTAGTAATGACCCAGTTTTGACGGAATCATTCGGACGGAAATTATTCCTTTCATCCGCTCTTTTTCCTTTTTTTATCTCATCGTGATTTTACACTTCTGGAAATGTGGTTTCAAAGATTACTTTTTTGCGTGATACATAAAATTTACAATGAAATTTTCACCATATTTTAAAGCAGTTCTATTTCAGTGTCACGATTATTCCTTTGCTCCAATTACTCTGATTAACCCTGTGCGTATAATTATTCTATCGCGTCATTATTTATAAACTGCACAAGGTCTGAGAAATTCTGTAAAAGATCTCTCTCCAGCTTCAATACGTTCTTCTGCGTTTCAAGCACATTCCATTGAATGTGTAATCTTTTGTTTTATTCTCTTTACTCTATAATCGTCAATAATCGAAGTACGAAGTACGATTATATAACGTGATTCTCACGGTGGATTCAAAAAATTCTTCTCGTAATTATTAGTACCCAGAGTCATGAATAATTCTATCATCTCTCAAATGACGTTGCCACCTACGTCATTGAATTTCCATCCGTCGTTAACTTTACCAATATTCTATCGCCCGTATATCTCACTCACAAAAAAAAAGTGAGGTATTATTTTCTCGCGTTTCGCCGGACAAATGAGAGAAACGGCTGTAACAATTGCAACGGATAAATTGCAGAATATCCGTGTCAGCTTGTGAATTCCACATAAAGGATCCAGTACGCACGCTCCAATTAACTCAGTTTACGTACCGCTGTCACTTCAATTGGATTATATCATTCAGTAGAAAAAAATATTATACTTGCACATGCTGCACGTGCACTGTGTAGTACCAGTACAATATACGAAATCGTAATGGACTACGAGATCGTCCGAATTCAATCGAGTCAAACTCGCGTGCTTGATAATAAATGCCCGAAAACCGGATATGCCATAACTATCACATACACTGCAACCACTGGAAAAAAACTAGATCATAAAAATTGTAGCGATGGTTGTATCGTTGCAAGCGTTCGCTGAATGAAATGTTAAAAAAATTAAACACTGCATACGAGGACAAACGAAAATATTCGTATATAAATATCTTTGCATAAGGTATACTAAAAAAAAAAATATATATATATATATATATATACATGAATATAAACACTTGAATTTCGCGTTTTTGTATGTTCAATTATAACTGTGAAATGGAAAGGATTTAAATCCATTTAAAAAGCAATTTATTTAACCCATTTAAGTCTCAAGTGACTCCTACGCACTTTTCTAGATTAAAACTTTGTAACTCAATCCGAATCAAAACTTTTGAATCGTAACTAATATTTGGAAGTAAAAAGAGTTGCTCTCCAAAAATTTAGTCGATAGAATGTAATGTCTGCACATAAAATATAAAAAGATTGAAAGTGAAAGTAGAAAAAGTAAATGACCCTAATAATTTTACTGTCGAATGAACTAATAAATAATTTCGCTATCTCTTTAGAATAAATCGATATAATTATTATTCCAGTTATATATAATATAACGATTAAAAACTTTGTAACTTCTCTATTTATATAGATTTATAGTACGAGTTTTCGCTTGCTGGAATACTTTTACGTGATTATATGAATTCTATTTCTTATTGCGCAATTTGTTTTAAAAAGTATTACGAATTAATTTGTACTTAGATATTTTTCGCAATAAAAGTTTCTTATATGAAGTAAAGGGAGGGATTATACATACATATATATGTGTGTGTGTGTGTGTGTGTGTGTGTGTGTATGTATATGTAACAACATAATATGGTAGAGAACACCTATGGATCGGTCAAAGTTGGAAGTTATTCTAAGTTCATGAATTTAATTAATCTCAAATGTGACTGTGCGTCGAAATATTCGGACAATCGCGAGTGTATATATATATATATATATATATATATGTACTCGCGATTGTCCGAATATTTCGACGCACAGTCACATTTGAGATTAATTAAATTCATGAACTTAGAATAACTTCCAACTTTGACCGATCCATAGGTGTTCTCTACCATATTATGTTGTTACATTAACTCAGTCGGTTTCTATTTATTAATAATTTGTAACTATTATAATAATCAGGGGAATATATATAAGCAGGAGTTATACATTATATTATAAACATCTTTATTTTTGTAATTCTGGAATCAAGAATGACTCAAATGTCAGTGTACAAAAGAAACATTTTAGCTATGATAGAAACATATCAATGTCTTTCCTGACTAATAATACACGCATACACGCACGCGCGCATATTTTACAGCGCTTTTATAAAAATTTTCAGATTCTTATATGTATAACTAATGATTTTTAATTTTATATCGTACTTTATGTACTTCTACTACAAATCTTTGCTATTCAATGAGACTGTATTACATTTCCCACAAATTTTTCAAGTGTGTTGGCTGCAGAATAAAAAAATTCTCAGATCTTTTTATTCTACAGCTAATCAACAAGCTTGAAAAAAATTTGTCGTACGACAAATGTAATATTAGTTTAATCTTACAATTAATATATACTTTCACATCGTAAATTTTGTCACATGTTAAAATAACATAAAAAGTTCAATTTTTTAAAAGCATATCTTTTCAGTAACGAAATGTTAAGAGAAAACTATCTTAACTTGTCACAACATAAAGACTCATAAACGTATTTGATTTTTGTCAAAAAAATTATAAAATCATAATATAAGAAAATGATAATAATGGTAGAAAAAGCTATATAATATCAATTATTAGAAAACAAATATCTACAATAAAATATAATATCGAACAGAAATAATAATTAGAATCTATATACTTGCATATATATGTTCATATTGGTCTACATAGACAAAACATTTCGATCAAATACATTCGATAGAGATCTGCATATAATTCTAACTCGCGTACTTCGCATACCTGATTCGATCCTTTGGCCGCATATAAGGCTGAAATAATATATATATGTATATGGATTCGGATATAAAATTTATAAAAAAAATTTTAATTTAGGGTAAATTCGAATCAAATAACGTTCCGGTTAGCCTAAATATTATAAATTTTTAACAAAATCTTTGACGTTCAGCACTTTCATTATATTCAGATAATTTTATTTTCCATAAAAGACTTTATATATTTTTATATAT